TATATTATAAATATATTAAATATATATTTTGCTGAAAAAATAAAACTGTCCAACATAAAAATAAAATATTGAAAAGAACTAGCAGAAATCCCCTTTGTATAAATATACTTTGAAGGTATAATTTCATTATAAAACATAGGTATGTTTTTAATTCAAATGTTGTTATGTAATATTTTTGGTATATTATAAGTATAAGTATATATAAATGTTTATATTTATATGTTATATTTTAAAACAGGCATGTTGTATAAAATATTTGCGAAAATTTGTCATATCGATGAGCAATAACAACATATCAAAAAAAAAATTTATTCTTGAACACTTGATCGTGTGGCAGGTGATGATACTATGTAGAATACACTACATTATATATCATTGAAGAATAAAATATATGAGGAGAAAGAAATATTTAGCTTAACTCTTGCGTTGGTAATTTAGTGATGGGAAGAACTTCTACTGAAATAAGGGAAGACCTGGAACTTCTCCCAAGGAGAGAAGAGAAATCTTCTCGGCCGTTATTTTTAAACATAATCCTTTGTTTTTAGGAAGGGTTAGAAAATAAATGTGTTATTAAATACTAGTACTTTATTTATATATGCTGCATTTGTAATAAAATATGCTATTATCGGAATAATTCAAATCTAATAACATTAATATAAATACTATTTTATAAGAGCCCTACAATGTAAGTAATTAAATTCAAAATCATACTCAAATGCACACATTTTGTGATGGAGCTAAGACAAATATTCACAATTTGCTAATGATAAAGATAAATGAATCATAAGTGTAACAAAAAAAAAAGGAAAAAAAATGAACAATTTCACACCGTACCAATTTGCAAATTTATAGCCTGTTTGATCAAGCTACAAAAATCAGTTTATTTTGAGAAGTAATTTTTTCAAAAGTACTTTTGGCGAGAAACAATTTGTGTTTGACTAATTAATTCGACAAACACTTTTCAACGGCAATTAGTGTTTGGTCAAACTTTTAAAAATAATTTCTAATTGTATTTTGTCAAAAGTGCTTTTCAAAAAAATGCTTTCGAATAAAAGCTATTTTTTTTCGATCTTCCAAAATTACTTTGCTTTTCTTCAAAAGTAATTTTTTTTTTATTCCAAAATCTTGGTCAAACGCCTTAATTGTTTTTAAAAAAAAAGTACTTTTTGGACAACCACGAAAAATAAAGGCTTTGGCCAAACATGCTATATTGCTATTAGACATTTTCCCTTTTAGCCTAACAGTTCATAATTGATACTCCAATTTTGTAATCTTTTATACTCCCCCTTTCCTTCCTCGAAGGAAAATTGCCTTCAGAAATCATTCGAGAGAGGAAACAAAATTCACAGAAGCCACAGCGAATCGAAATCTAGATGAAGATGAGCAGTACGCAAGGTCCACATTCTCTGGCCTTTAGGGTCATGCGACTATGTCGACCTTCTCTTCACGTCGAAACTCCGCTCCGTTTCGACCCTACAGATCTCTTGTTCGGCGAAGACCTGTTCGATGATCCTGTTGCCGCTGAGCATCTCCCTCGTCTCCTAGCCGATACCGTCTCCTCCGCTGCCGCCACCACCGCCGGCAATACTTCAGCTGATCCCTCGGATCTGTCTTACCGGAATAGATTCCTTCTTCAGCATCCTTCTGATTCGCTTGGACTCCCTGGCCTCCTACTTCTCCCTCAGTCCTTCGGGTTAGCTTCGTTTTGCTTTATTTGACTAAATTTGGTACACTCATGTCGCGAAACAAATTCAGAATTTAAAGTCAGTGTTGCACTTCTTAATGTATAAGTATAACTATTGCAGTTCTATTTTATAAGACACTTGCTAAAATATACGACAATCAGTGAGCAAGAGTATGAGCTTCAAAGTTCTCTAATGGCGGAAGCTTCTAGAAGAAGAGAAATGAGGAAGGAATGTGTGAGATGAATATGATAACCACCAACTTGATTATACACAGCTAAGAGCTTATATACAAAAGCTAAGCTAAGCTAAGCTAACTGTCTTTCTAACAAAATTGACTAACCCAACTAACTAACTTATACATGTCTTGTCACATAAGAATTAGTTACCTCCAATGAAGCATTGCCACATATACACTCTATGTGAGACCAAAGCTCACAATATTCTCCCTCAAGCTGCCTAGAAGGGTGCAGGATGTTAAGCACACCAAACTTGCCTAGAAGGTATAGAGGTTGAGTCTTACTCAATCCCTTAGTGAGCAAATCTGCCAGCTGATCCTTAGTGTTCACATACACTGACCAGCCATCCTTGATCTTATCTCCAATCAATTTCTACATGTTTGTTGCGCTAATGGAAGATATGATTAGCTGCTATTTGCATAGCAAATTTGCTGTCACTTTGCGCAGTAATAGGAATCTTAATGTCAACCACTAACTCCTTGAACATGCCACTTAACCAAGTGACCTCTGCTACAGCTGAAGCCATGCTTCTATATTCAGCTTCAGCTGAACTACTAGATACTGTTTGCTGTTTTTTTGATTTTCAAGAAATAAGAGAATTACCAAATTTGATCACACACCCTGTAACGGACCTCTTGTATTGGAACAGGCTACCCAATCAGAATCACACCGACAACTCAATTCAGGTACAGGATCTGCTTTCAGCCAAACTCCTTGGTTTGGATCATTTTCAAATACCTGACCACCCTACGTGCAGTTTCCTAGTGTGACCCTTTTGGTCTTTGCATAAACTGACTCAAATTTTGGAAGACATAACTAATATCTGGCCTGGTGATTGTGACATACATTAACTTCCCAATCAATCTTTGATATAAACCAATATCCTTGAGAATCACATCTTCTACATCACAGTTGCTTCATCATATTCTACTGTGGTTAATCTCAAGTTTGTTTCCATGGGAGTAACAACAGGTTTGGCTGTCCCGTTTCAAAAATAAGCTCAAGCGCATACTTTCTCTGATTTAGAATGACCAGACTTAGACCTTAAGACCTCAATGCCCAGAAAATATTTAAGTTCATCTAAATCCTAGAGCTTGAATTTTTGATGCGGCCTAACTGATCAACTCCTCATTACTCTTTGTGATAAGTAAATCATCAACATATACCAGAATCATTACCATTCCTCCTTGTTTCTTCAATGTAAACAGAGAATAGTCATGACTGCTATGAGTGAAACCTGCTGCAAGTAAAACATCTGTCAATTTGATGTTCCACTGCCTTGATGTTCCACTGCCTGGAGGCTTGCTTGAGTCCATACTTAAAGCAACCTATGTATTTCTGCTCTTCCTGCTTCTTAAAGCCTGTTGGCATCTCCATGTACACTTCGACAGGGATCACCTTGTAAAAAAGCATTGTAAACATTTATTTGGTACAAAGTTCAGCCTCTAGAGACAGCCAGTGCTATAACAGATCTCACTGTGACCATCTTGGGCACATGAGAGAAGATGTCATGATAGTCAAGCTCTTCTTGTTGACTATAGCATTTTGCAACTAACCTAGATTTAAATCTTTTAATTCCCCATTGGCTGTACTTAATCTTGTATACCCATTTAGATCCCACGGTCCAAGGCTTAAATTTCCTGTTGCATTGCATTGATCCACCTGGCATCCTTTGCTGCCTATTTGAAGGTCTGTGGCTCTACCAAAGTCTGAGATTTAGCTAGGTAGCTATGATAAGTTGGAGTAGTGTTGTCATCGGGTAGGTAGTTGGCCAAGGGATGTTTGCTAGATACTTTGTTGAGGGCCACATAATCCTTCATCCAAATAGGCTCCTTAGATTCCCTTGTGGATTTTCTAATAAGAGGAGGAACACTTTGTGTTGGTGCTGAAGTGGTTGCTTCCTGTGAATCCTGTTCTTGTAATGACTCTCCACGTAGCATCTCTTCATCTTGAGCTACTGATTCCTGCTCTAGAAACTGACTCCTTATTACTAAGAATGACTAAAGGGGAGAACAAGATTCAGTCATACCTCAAGGATTATATCCATCAAATCAGATACCTGATGATTCAAGGGCAAACTCAAGTTGGTCACTTTTATAGGGAGGCTAATTTTGTTGCGGACTCGCTTGCTAACATTGGAGTGGAGACTAAACATAAGAGATTCTTCACACAAGCTATGGCCTTGCCACGAAAGACTAAAGCTTTATTGAAGAATAATCAAAATGGCTTTATCCGCTTTAGAATCAGGTCCAAGAAGGGGCATTTCATATTTGATAATGTTTAAGACTACTCTCGTTGTATTCACATATAGTTTTCATTTCAAAGCTAGTTCTTTTATCTGTAACATGAGAGGGGAGTCCTCTCTTAGTCTTAGTGAAAATTTAGACTATGCACATAATTATCTTAGAGTCTCAGTCACACTCCATGTATCTCTATAGGCTAAAATTTATGTCCTTCTTTGTGTATTTTTTTGGATTGTCTAAAAAACAGGTAGGGGTAATGGCAAACCCGCCACCACCACAGGGCAACATACTCTGGGATGATGGTTTGAATTTTTTTTTTAGAAAAACCTCAGACTCTGAAGGATGCTCAACAATGTCAAGTGTAACACTGTCAATTGTAACTGGTTGCAATTTAGCATCCTAGATGCTCAAATCATGAACACCAGGAACTATTGAATGTACAAAGTTTTGAATTTTAGTAAAAGGAAACTCTGATTCCCTGAATACCACATCTCTATTTACAAAGAATTGCTTGGTGGCTAGTTCCATCAACAAATATCCCTTCCGTCTCTCAGAATATCCCATAAGGACTGCAAGTCATGATCTTGCAACAAACTTGTCACCTTTAGGCACAACACTTGCATAGCAGAGACATCTTATCACCTTCAAGTGAGCTAGAGATGAAGATTTAGAATGCAACATTTCAAAAGGACTCTTCCCTTTGATGGCTGAAGATGGTGTTCTGTTGATCAAATATACTGCAGCAATCACAAACACCCTAATATTTGAGTGGCATCTTGGACTGAAATCTTAATGCTCTTGCTACATCTAAAATATGTGTATGCTTTCCCTCCACAACTCCATTTTATTGTGGAGTATGAGTGCAACTGCTTTGGTGTATTATCTCAAGACTCCGCAAAAATTCATTACATTGAGAGTTAAAGAATTTTGTTCCATTGTCTGACCTTGGAGTCTTCACCATTGTCCCAAATTGATTCTTTATCATCAGCAAAAAGTTTTTAATTGCTACTATGGCTTCAGATTTGAGTTGCAACATATACACCCATGTATATCTACTGAAGTCATCCACAACAGTCAAGAAATAGTATTTCTTATCAAATGTAGCAACTTTATAAGGTCCTCAAAGATCCATATGAACAAAAGAAAAGGGAAATTCAGCTCTGGAACTACTAGTAGGAAACCTAGTCTGTTTTGCTGATGGACAGATTGGACATTTATTCAACAAATCGTTATCTAGTGAGTGGAGAAGATTGCAGATTATGGCACATTTATTCAATAAATCATTATGGTACAGAACTTCCTAGGCTCATAGTCTTCATAACAATACCTGAAGGATGACCAAGCCTCATGTGCCATAATCTGCAATCTTCTCCGCTCACATTTGCAGCCCGTCGATGTGTTTTGGCTTTATTATTGTCTCCTGCTTCCTTGTATATGCACGTATTTGCATTCTCCTTACCAATATCCCCTTCACCCTGCTAATGTAGAGATCCTGAAACAAAACAAAGTCAGAGAAAAAATTTATTGAACAGGAGAGTTCTCTGGTTAGTTTGAGGCTGAGAACATGTTGAATTTGGGGTCAGGTACAAATAGCACATTGTTTACACCTTCAGTTCCAAATAGAAGTGCTTGACCAATACATGAAGTTTCAACTTATCCCTGTGGGCAAATGGACTTTATCTTTAGATGGCCTCTTAGCATTTTTTTTGATAAGGTAAATTGTATTAATCAAAAGGGAGAAAAAACTCCCGTATACAAGAAGTATACCAAAAAGTAGAGAATTTACATCAAAACATGATTCTCTACAAAAGACGCCCAATCTTCTATACAAGTAGCGGCTATATGAGTGCACCAAAACGCGATCAAAGATAAAAGACTATTCTTAAGATGTGAAAAAAGAGACAACAAATGTCAGAAAAATTTAGGGGGATTGGGTGGCCAAAAGTAACTCAACCAAAGTCTTATGGGGGATTGGGTATCAGGAATCTTAGGCTTCACAACAAATGTATGCTAATGAAATGGCTATGGAGGTATGGACAAACTGAAGCAGGTTACTGGAAGGAGATCATTGACGCCAAATATGGAATTCAGAATCACTGGATCCCCAAGAAAAGTCCAGCACCTCATGGAGTGGGTTTATGGAAACACATCAACAGCTTTCAAAATGATTTCTTTCAGAATACATCATTCAAAGTTGGTAGTGGTGTTCATGTGAAATTCTGGAAAGACATATGGCTTGGTAATACAACATTAAAGGATTCATACCTAGGTCTGTTCCTAATAGCCTGCATTCAAGACTCAAATATTGCTCAAAACAGAGAGAACAACATTTGGAATCCAGTGTTTAGAAGAAATCTTCAGGATTGGGAAATCAATGACTTACTTGCTCTCTTAGCCACACTGGGAGATTTCATCACGGAAGATCAACAACCAGACAGAATCATCTGGGGGAATTCAAAAGAAGGAAAGTACACAGTCAAAGAGGGCTACAACCTTATCTGCTTACATAATGGAATACTAGAGGATTGGCCCTGGAAACATGTCTGGAGGACCAGAATGCCACTCAAAGTAGCATGCCTCACATGGACTGCCCTCAATGAAGCTGTTTTAACACAGGACAATCTTAGTAGAAGGAGCATTACTTTAGTCAACAAATGTTATATGTGCCAACAGAGATCAGAAAGTGTTAACCATCTGTTTCTTCATTGCCCAATCACCACTAATATTTGGAACTTCTTCCTATCCATTTTTGGTATAACTTGGATCATGCCTCACGCCATCAAGGAAGCCTATATTAGCTGGATTTTTTTGGAGAGTTGACAAAGCCATCAAAAGAATATGGAGAATGATCCCAACAGTCATATTTTGGATTGTTTGGAAGGAAAGAAATGGCATATGTTTTGATGGAATATCAACTCCAACACATTCCCTAAAGGCTAGATGTTTAGTTAGTTTGTTCAGTTGGAACTTTCTTTCCCCTGTTAATACCGTTGACACTTTTTTGGATTTTGTTAGCTCCCTGGTTCTAGCATAGGTACTCTTGTACTAGAGCTTACAATGTTTTTTGTCTTTTGTACGGGAGCTAACATAATTTCTGTTCTTGTAATTTGGCATCTTCCTGATGCCCTTTCAATGATATTATCTTACTTCATAAAAAAAAGATGTGAAAAAGGAGACTCAATCCCCTCAAAAGCTCTCCTATTTCTCTCCCCCCAAACTATTCACATGAGAGCTAACGGGGCGAACTTCCACGCCTTTTGCTTTCTTCTTCTACGAAAACCGGCCCAGTTATATAACATTTTCTTTACAGTGCTTGGCATCACCCATTGAACACCAAAAAGATTCAGGATTACCCTCCACAAACCCGAGGACACAGGGCAATGCAACAAAAGATGATCAACTTCTTCCCCTGAGCTTTTACACATGTAGCACCAACTAACAAGTGTAATTCCTCTCTTTCGCAGATTTTCAGTAGTCAAGATCACTCCCCTCGCCGCTAACCATGCAAAAAAGCACACCTTCGTGGGCGCTAGGAATCCAGATCGAGTGTGGAAAAGTGGCCTCCTCTCTCACCAACATACTCTGGTAAAAGGACTTTACGGTGAACAAACCATCGCCACGCAACCCCCATCTACAAGAATCACAAGATGACTGGGGCCTGTCTTGCCCATATAGCAGTGCCAACAAATCTTGGAGCTCCGCAATCTCCCAATCTTGCATGTTCCTTCTAAATGGGAGGTCCCATACTACCCCCCTTCATGCTCCTTGCGAATCTGTTGGACCATCAATTCCTTCTGATTTGAAACTCTGAAGACGTGGGAGAAAGAGACCCTAAGAGTATCCTCTCCACACCACCTGTGATTCCAAAAGCTGATTCTCTCCTTCCATCTCCCACCTTGTAAGTGATGTTGCTATTGAAGGCTTCCTAATTCTTCATGATGCTCCTCCACATGCACACCCGAAAGGTGTTGTGATTGCCTTGGTCCTCCAACCCCCTCCCGTGGAATCGTACTTTTCTAATATGACCTCCCTCCATAGAGCATGCTCTTCTACCCCGAATCTCCACAGCCACTTCCCCAACAAAGCTCTTTTGAATACCCTAAGATCTTTTACTCCAAGTCCACCCCACTTCTTTGGGGAAGTGACTGTCTGCCAATTCAGTAGATGAAACTTTCTAGTTCCATCTGCCGCATCCAAAAGAAAATTCCTTTGAAGCCGCTCCAGTTTTTCTGTGATACTCACAGGAGCTTGCAACAGGAACAAGTAATAGGTGAGCATACTCGATAAAGTGCTTTTAATAAGCACTTCCTTACCACCTTTTGACAAGTACCATTTCTGCCAGCCTCCTAATGGCCTCTTAGCATTAGGATCATCTTTTAGCTATTTCTCAGCTGTTGTTGTATGATGAGTTGTACGAGTCTACAATCTAGTCATTTGCAAGAGTGTGTGACGTTAGACAAGTAGCGGTACCTGTCATGTTAGCCTGACTGTCAGTGGTCTTCTTGTTTAGCAAACCTAGGATTTGCCTGTATTGGTCCTCAATGAAATATGGTTCCTTACCAACAAAAGTGTTCTGCAGGTCATTGGTTGAATAGCCCTGTGATTGAATATAAACATTTCTACATATATTGTTGACAACATTGAAGGATTATTGAGTACCCCGACCAAATTTGCCCTCTAAAATTATCATTGCCACGACCATATTGACCTCCAGAATTACCAGAACCAAATTTCTTCTTTCCCTTAAATTCCTCAGGATAACCAATAATTTTATAACAATTTTCCTTTATGTGGCCCTTAAGTCCATAATCTTCACACTATAGGAAAGGGTTTTTATCTGTGTAACCTTGACCTTTACCAACCTGCATAGCAATTGGATCATTTTTCTCATTCACTGAGCCTAGACCAGGAGAGTGTTGTGATTCGTCCTTGATAACCATAGATATGCTTGATTAACAGAAGGAACATTGGATTTCAAGAGAATTTGTCTTCTAGCTTCTAGAATCATTTAAACCACTAAGGAATTGTAATAGCCTTTGCTGCTGAAGATGTTCAACGTAATCCTTCGAATTTGGAGCAGGCACTAAGGCATCATATTCATTCCAAAGACTCTTCTACTTAGTGAAATAGGTGGAAACAGAATCAATACCATGTGACAGAGTGGCAATAGCTCTGTGCAATTGGAAGATTCTCATGGGATTCACCTTGTCAAATCGCTCTCTCAAATCTTCCCACACAAGATGTGCATTAGAAGCATACACAATTCCACTGAGGAGTTCTGTGGACACCGTGTTCATCAGCCACGAAAGGGCAATCGCATTACAAGTTTTCCATTGCTCATGCAACTCTGCCTTACATGACTCATTTGTGCAGGTGCAAGTTAAAAAACCCTAACTTCCTCTTCCCTAAAAGGGCAATCTTCATTGTCCTGTTCCAAAGCCCATAGTTCTCAGATCCTGTAAGCTTAACAGGGATTAGAACAACGCCCGGAGTATCTGATGCACCAAGGTATAGTGGATGTGTGTACAAAATTGTTGATCCTGCCATTGACAAACTGAAAAAACAGGAAATAAAGGCAATGTTCGGAATCGATGAAATCTGAAGAAGAAACTTAATTCGCGTATACTACCAGCACCATGCTGAAATATATGACAATCATTGAGCAAGAGCATGAGCTTCAAAGCTCTCTAATGGCGGAAGCTTCGAGAAGAAGAGAAATGAGGAATGTGTGAGATGAAAATGATAACCACCAACTTGATTATACACCGCTAAGAGCTTATATACAAAAGCTAAGCTAAGCTACCTGTCTTTCTAACAAACTGACTAACCCACCTAACTAACTTATACAAATCTGTCACATAAGAATTAGTCACCACCAATGAAGCATTGCCATGTATACACTCTATATGAGACCACAACTCACAATAACACTATAACTATTTGGATCGTCGAATAGTCTCTTATTGTAATTTTATAACATTTTCTACTATTCTTAATTACAAAAATTGTAACTTATAGTACTCCATTTGTTTCAATTTATATGATGATGTTTTACTGACCATCAAGTTTAAGAAAAAAAATAGTAAAACTTTTGAAATTTGTGATTTAACACAAGCTTTAGAAAGAAATTCATGTGGCTCTAAATCATCTCATTAAGGATAAAATGAGAAATTTAAAGTTAAATTGTTTCGGACAGACTAAAAAGTAAAGAGCGTCACATAAATTAGAACATAGGAAGTAACATTCTAAAATACATTTTAATACAAATAACTTAAAAATACTATTCTACTTTTGAGCAGTCTTTGAATGTGGAGATTTTATTTTTACAAAATAAAGGAATTGATGTTCAAATTGAGATAAAATTGAATGGTTTGACCCTTGTAGTATGATATCAGTTGTTTTTGAAATGGAGTATATTTTGTTAACATTTTTCTTTGAATTTTCTATATACATATATTCAAACAGTAGATAATGAGTGATGTGCAATCACTGCTTATATGTTGGATGTTGTGATTAGTTATTTTTCTTTTCCCCTTGTTAAATTTATAATCTTGCAGGGCGATATATTTGGGAGAGACATTCTGCAGTTATATAAGCATTAATAACAGCTCCAACTTTGAAGTTAGAGATGTTACCATCAAGGTGATTTGCTCGCTTAGCTGATTACTATGAGAAGCTACTGTAAATAGTGATAGAGATGTTGTGGATTATTCAACTTGTTGATAAGCAAGATCCTTACAATTTTGTCCGAGGGCATAAATTTGTAAGGTGGCAAGGCTGAATACGTGCTCTTTGGCAAAAGTATTAAATGAAGTTTGGTGCTGTACATTAGCCGGGGGTTTACTTCTCTATCCTAGAAAATAAAATTGATAAAAAAAAGTTTTTTCCTTGGTTTACCCTGTTTGAGTGCTTACTGCATTTTAGTGCTCAAGTATGATCAACTTTTCGAAAAACTACACAAATATAACCAAATAGTTTTTCTACTTTAGCTAATTGTCTGAAAGAATGATGTGCTTCTGGTGTAGAAAATTTCTTTGGAAAAATAGTAAATGGAGAATAGTAGTGTCATCGCAATCTTCTGGTCATAGAGTTGCATTTTCCATATTTAGGAATGTGCACGCGTAGAGGACATTCTTGACTAAGTAGATATATAGACAACAGGCTATTGCATTCTGTATATGTGTGGCCTTTATGCTCTTGTATTGATCATTTTGGCTAAACTAAGCTACTTATTGAAAGCCGTTAGTCAAGCTTTCATATTTTTTGGAAAGTATGGTCCAAATGTATCTTACACCCACCGTCAAAATGTATCTTACACTGAAGAAAATGAATTTGCTCAATGGGCATATTTGAGTCTCTGTGTGAGTGTACGGACAATGGAATGTCTCTTAAGCATGGCTTATGAAACTTCAGTTTCTATTATTTGATATGCTGCAATTTTGCTACCGTGTGTCTGGTATAAAGTGCTTTCATAGGTAATTATCAAATGAATATAAAAAGCCTAGGAATCGTTTCGTGAAAAGGGTGAGATAAATATCTACCTGGACAATTTAGACCTCAAGCATCTCTGATTGAGAGTCAAGTACAGGGATCTTGTTTTTCATATTATCAGTTTTGTAAGCTGCTAGAAACTTTCTAACCTTTTGAATTCTTATCTCTTGGCTCTACGAACTGCTTTATAGAAGTGATTTAATTTTCTACAGGCAGAAATCCAAACAGAGAGGCAGAGGATACTTCTTTTAGATACTTCTAAATCACCTGTGGAATCAATACGTGCTGGAGGGAGATATGACTTCATTGTGGAACATGATGTGAAAGAACTTGGTGCACACACGTAAGTTTCATGATAAAATTTGTGTTCTATGTTGATAGGAACCTTCTATCAATTTGATAGTTCACTTATTCAATTGCTTCACTTTTTAGGTTGGTATGCACTGCTCTTTATAGCGACAATGATGGTGAGCGTAAATATCTTCCACAATATTTCAAATTTATGGTCGCAAACCCACTTTCTGTTAGAACAAAGGTACATCCAAAAACCTGTGTTGTGTTAGCAATTTTATTCTGATAGGATTCTATATGCTTTACATCCTATGCATTGGCACAGTTCTTTACTATATTTTTCTGCTATTCTAATATATATCATATTTGCTTCTTTATTGTTGATTTATTTCTCGAGTCTGGACGTGCTTTTTCAAGATAATAACTGTTGTTTGTTTCTGCAGGTTCGCGTTGTTAAGGTAGGTTGGTTCAAGCTCATTGAGTGTAAGTTCATTATCTTGCGTTCATACTGGTAGGCTGAATATCTTAGGAAAATAGGTCAAGAAAAGTCAGTTTTGCAGTTATTATTTCAATTTCAATCATTGGGATGTCTCAGTTAAGGCCAATTTGTGATAACATAGCATCTAACTTACCACTTTCATAAATCTGCAACATACTGCCACCAATCTCATTTGCTTATATGGAATGTCAGTTATTTCTACTCATTTGGGCAGTTTTCTGTCCCTAAAAGGATAATGTGAGATCGCATTTGATTTCTAATATTACAAACCATCTTGTCTCTTGAGAATGATCTACCAGAAGCAGCAATATCAGCTTCTGCATTTCTAATACTTTTCCTGTTCATGACAGTAAAGTCTTTTTCCATCCCAGGAAACTACCTTTTTGGAGGCTAGCATAGAGAATCATACAAAATCTAATCTCTATATGGACCAAGTTGATTTTGAGCCAGCTCAGCATTGGAGTGCTACAGTACTAAGAGGTGTTGATCATCAACCAGAGAGCAGACAGCCAATGAGGTTGACTAATAGATTTTTTCTTTTTTACAATGGGAATTGCTGCTTTATTTTGGTTTTAAATGTTGATGTGATCACCAGTTGGTGTTAGCATTCACCTTTGTTCCCTTGACTAGCCTTTGCTGATATATTTTGATCTGCCAGTGATGTATTTAAGCCCCCTGTTCTCTTAAGATCTGGAGGCGGGGTCCATAATTTCCTCTACCAATTGAAATTATCATCCGATGGCTCTTCATTGCCAAAGGTGGAGGGAAGTAATGTCTTGGGCAAACTCCAGATTACTTGGCGCACAAATTTGGGAGAACCTGGACGCCTTCAGACACAACAAATTCTTGGAAGTGTAAGTCAAATGATTTCTAATGATGAATTTTTATGCGCTCTTAAGGTATTTGTTTCTTACCTTGCAGCCTATTGCTCATAAAGACATTGAGCTAAGAGCAGTGGAAGTGCCATCCATTATCATGCTGGAGAAACCTTTCGTAGTAAGTCTGCGTTTACATTACTACAACGCATTTCTCTTTACACAGTGTGTTAATTGCTGCTTAAACTAGTGGATTTGTGATTATTACACGAGTCCTTTTATCTACAGTATTGGTGAGGAAGTTTGTCCATTTGAATTGAATTTGCTTCTGTTCTGTCTTCCGCTTGCAATTTGTCTGTCATGAAACTGGATGTCTTTGTGGGCACTTCTGTAGGTACGGTTGAATCTCGCAAACCAGACAGACAGGTTGCTGGGCCCTTTTGAAGTTTGGGTGTCACAAAATGAATCACTCGATGAGAAGGCTGTTATGGTTAATGGTCTTCTAACAATGGTGAGACACTGAAATGGCTTCTGCACGAGCTGATGAGCTTAAACCTCTCCTACAATTGATGAAATTCCCTTCTTTTTATTGAAGCTCTTGTTTGGTGCATGCGTTTTTGTTAATCTTGCACTTTGATTGTGTCATATTGTTCTGTTACTAATTGTCATACTCATTCTTAGCACTGATTGTGTCATATTGTTAATCTTGCACTTTGATGTGCAAGTTCAATTCTCTATCATAATTTCTACTTCATCTACGAGTATACTTTCAGCTAATCTTTTCTCTTTGTAGTGTTGGGCATATGATTGCAGCTGTTTTTTCTCCTCTTGTCGATTCTAAACTTCTCTGCGGGTACTGGATCCCTAACTCTGTCTTCCTTGAACAGCATTTGGCGCAGGTGGAAGCATTTAGCTCTTCAGAATTCCAGTTGGTGAGGATAATCTTCTATTTAATATTGTAAAGTGGATAGCTCGAATGCACATTTTATTGGATACATAATTTTAGTCATTGGTGACTGATCTCATTGAACTGTTGATAACAATGTTCTATATCCTAATAGCTTCAAGAGTGAAGTTTTTTTTGTTTTGATAAAGTAAGCTGTTTCATAGATTGTCATCAAGAAGATGCAGAGATTTCAAAAGTAGATATGGTAGCTCCATAACAAAATGTAGCTTCAAGAGATAGTTATGTTAATTGCAATTGTTTATTTGATTATTCAGTTGTTTAACATCATAAAAATGAATTTTGGTGCACTTTCCCATGTAGAACCTGATTGCTGTGAAGCATGGGGTACAGAAAATCACAGGCATTACAGTGTTTGACACGCGTGAGAAGAAAACATATGATTCTTTGCTGGAGTTGGAGGTTAGTTTCAGTTTCAGCTCACAGCACAGTTGATATGGAGGATAATGCTTCTTTTCAATTTCATTCTGTTTTAGTTACTCCATTTTCTTATTGTAGAACGCGGTTGCACCCTTCTAAGACTTGATTGTCCCCACATCTTCTTTGGTTTAAGTGTTGACCTATCTTCAGTACAGATCCTGTATATTCTCATGCCACATGGCATTGATAAGACCAGTTTTTCTACCGGCAAATATGTTGCAAAAATCCAAAGCAGGGGTGGATGTAGAGGGGAAGATACGGGTTCATCTGATAGCTTTGGCTCGAACGTTGTATATATGTTAAAAATTTTGCTTAATTAGTACAAATGATTGATTACGAACCTAGTAAATCAATGAGTTGTGGTAGATCCACCTGTGATCTGAAGTATGAGATGGCCTCATATTGATCAATGACCTCATCCTTAACTATTCATCCTTCTTTTGCAGTCCAAAAATAGCAGCCCAAAAATAGAACTCACTAGATACATGCACAGGAATCTGTTGTCATATACATGTTCGAAAAACTTTTCAAAATTCTGGATGTCGTCTTATGCCATAACCTTGTATATAGTTTTCATTTACCTCTTTGTTTTAACATTGTGTTATGGAGTAAGTGCATAGAATTTTGTTCTTCATGATGCTGCAGGTATTTATCGATTCACAGTAGGTGCTTGAGCCAGATGTGGTTGCAAAATAATAGGAAGGCTGATCTGATTGAGGTTGGAGTTTCTGTTGGTTGAGAGTTTTTACAACTCGGAACGTCAAAGTTGAGATCTAGCCAGTTCATTGTCAAAGGAATTCTCGTCGTCCAAACAGATGAGAAGGACACTTGACCGTTGAATGGTCCCAATGGATCTTAGCATTCATCCAGAAGATCTTAAAATGATGTAACATGTGTTTTTCTCGATCAATCGGCAGTGTACACTAGCTAGCACATGTTATTTTCTTAGTATATAGTTTTGTGCCTGTCCTACTCTACCAATGTGCTACAATTTCTGATGAAGATCATTTTCTTTGGTCTTGCCTTTGTCCATGTTCTTGTGTTGATTAGCAGTTTTTAACTTCGCTTTGTTGGCTATATTAAAAATGAAAAGAGGTTGAGAATGGTTTTGAGTTACAACTCCTTTCTCCTTTACAAGGGATTTGTTACTCAGTCTTAGGAAGAGAATAAGGGCTCGTTTGGTACGAAGGATAAGGGGTAATTAATCGCGGGACTAAATTTGAGATGAGTTTATTTCACATTTGCTTGGGATAAAATAGTGGTATAGCTAATCTTTGGATTAGTTATCTCAGGATTGTAGTATTTTTTTCATCACTACGGGAGGGTGCAATAACAATCTAATAATTAATTCTGGGATAACTTGTTTCCAACCAAACGACTCCAAAGAGATGTTCCTATAATCCTATTTGGTTATGCTCGAGATAGATTGCAGAAAAAGGTTACAATGTCGGCAATATAATTAAATTTTCAAAGGTGGTAAAGCTATTTTTAGCAATTCCGACTTATGTGATTTTTTATTTCAACTCCATCATTATATTTTTGAAAAAATTACATCAATAAAGGGAAGATGGGAAGAACTTATTAATTTAACTCCAGAAGTTAATTATTAAACAATAAAATAATCTTTTATACGCAATATTAATTAAACTGCTTATAAAATTATATATTACGAATTTACATAGAATTCACTTTTATCCATTGGCCATAAAATGCCATATATTAGGAAATTTATTGGTCTGGTGAATTGACGGATCAGACGTAAGTTTGTTTTTGAGTAAAATACATAGCTAAGCACTTTTTGAGAAATATTTAAAAAAATATTAGCAATCTCTAATTATTACATAAATGGAAGATTTTTTTACATTTGGAGCATATCTTAAATATAACCAAATAATTAATGACTAACGCAAAAGGCACAAATCATTGGATCTTTGGAATGTTCACACTCTCTCTCATCGTGTGAAAGAGATCAGATATCCTTTCTCTTCTATTATCTCATTCTCTCATCTTATTTTCTACAATCTCTCAATCTATTTCTCTAATCTTATTTTCTCCAATCTCTCAATCTATCACAATATGCAATCAATAGGCATGCACATTTCTCTCAATCGTTCCATAAAATTAAAAGTGCTGGATTTTTGAAATTCACCAATTATTCAAAAAAAATCACATAGATATTGCTCAATCATTCCGAAAATTCACAAAGATTTAGCTCTACTCTTCTTATCCTTTTGATCAGTTGTTTTGGAATTAACCACAGCATACGCGAGTGGGAATATTTTACCTTATTGAACATCACAAAAATTAACTTTGTTTAAAACTAAAATTATACAACATATAAAATACGATAAAGCAGATTTGTTGTAAAGGTATGACGATATGATACATTATACATGATATATAATAAAAAGATACATGTTATACTAAATGTAGAGCTGCTATAGCATCAAAATAGTCGGATATTTTACACATGTTATACATGAAATGTAATTATCAGGATAGTATTTGCATTAGTAATTGCAAATATACTTTTACGATGTCTTTTTACTTGTGTTATCAGCTTTTGATCCTTTATGAAATAAAGATTTATACTGTGCTAGTGCTACAGCAAGTTCCCAACCAGAAGATAAATCACTTATAACATGTATATATTATACCCTCACTAAGGATTATTTTATTGTGGTATAACTTTTTCAAATATTTCACAGATATACGGATAAAGTGATTTATAATTATGTATGATTTATAATTAGTTGTTGCTCGTCTGTTTAAGTAATACAATAGGGCATATGGAATTCTATGGAATGCGGCAGTTACAAATAATAAGATTTGCTGACAATAATGACTAATTGTCTTAATTAAGTAGTAGTAGGTAACTGAAATGGGTGATTGAAGTTACCATGTTTAAATGATTTTGGCTAGGAATATAAATATGGCTTGCCTAATGTGTAAATGACCTAATACTGCTATATGTGCGAAAATTTTCTTACAAATCTGCCTAGTTATGTTTTTTGCTCTAAGTTTTTCTAGATTTTGATGGTTCATTCAAAATTTTATTGACAAAACATGCAATACTTCTTTGTTAAATATTAGTATTAGTTTGTTTGACAAACTTCTGAAAAGTTAGAAGTGCTTCCTTAAGAATACTTATTTTGGAGATTAAAATGTTTAGCGAAATTATTAGAGAATGAAAGTAAGCTGAAGAAGTAGAAATTTGAAGGGGATTTGCATCTATATCCGCTTTTTGGTCACGTTTTAACTTATACCCGCTTTGCAAAAAATATTGCAAGCGTACGTACTTTTCGCGTAATATGGGCCTGAAGTAGCAAAAACAATCACGCAAAATTCAGCATTCTAGTAGACGGGCCTGAAGTTGTTTGTAATTGCTGAACTTAAGGATTCTACTAACTGAAGTTTTGTTCTCTATTTGCTGAACTTCAGCATGTTTTAGCTGAAGTTTTGTCCTGGATTCATTAGTTTTGTCGTAAAACTTTTTCAAAAACTTCAGCAGAAGATGCTGAAGTTATTTGGTACATTCGTAAAAACTTCAACACCAAGCTAGCGTTTGGCCATAGATCCCAAATTTATTTTGAAAAATCTGATTTTGGTGAAGTTTGGTTTGAAGATGAAAATGTGTTTGGACATACGTTTTCAAAACATATTTTCCAACTTTATTGGGAAAAACATGTATATAATTCCCAAGTTTTTGGGATTTTGGCCCAAAATCAGCTCAATAGCTTATTTTGGGATTTGACTAAAATATGGGCAAAATTTATGGCCAAACATGAGTTTTGAAAATAAATCCCAAATTTATTTTGGCAAAACTCATGGCCAAACGGGGCCTAAATAAGCTGAAGTTTTTTTGTCCTAGATTCATTAGTTTTGTCGTAAAACTTTTTTCAAAAACTTCATCAGAAGATGCTGAAGTTATTTAGTTTATTTGTAAAAACTTCAGCACTAAATAAGCTGAAGTTTTTTTGTCCTGGATTCATTAGTTTTGTCATAAAAGCTTTTTCAAAAACTTCAGCAGAAGATGCTGAAGTTATTTAGTGCATTTGTAAAAATTTCAGCACTATATAAGCTGAAGTTTTGAAAAATCTTTCTAACATATTAGATAAATAATCACCTTATTCTTTCATAGTTTATTACTACTATAAAATAATCAGATTGCCAACAGTATCTAAATCATAAATTTTGGAAACAATAAACGTGAAAAGCACAAAGAAAAGCAGTTCACCCCAAGCATTGTGATGTAAGCATATGCACAAATACAAATGATGAAGTGAAGTATCACATTATTAAAAACAAGATGTTCTAAGAGACTAATAAAGAAAGGAGGAAGAAAGGAGCGCACATCTAACAGGAAGAAGGAGGAGCCTAAAGTTGTAAAAATTAGGGTATAGGTTAAATAATTTTAAAAATATGGGTATAGGTTAAATGGGGGCGACCAAATAGGGTGCCCCGTGTAATTTTTACAAATTTGTAACTTATATTTGGAAGCAGATTTTTAAGAATAGAAATAGGCTTAATAAAAATTTATATTTATCAAATTATCTGTCTTTAATTCACCAATGTATCTCTTATTGTCTTATCTTGTCCGATTTTTCGTAATAATATCTAAAATAATTTATCTAAATAAATAATACTAATTAAAAAAATAAATTTATACTTTTGTTAATTTTTTTTCTTCCATTTTTTTAAAATTTATACATTCAAATGCTATTTTTAAGGTCTGGTCAAATACAAATTATTTTTCTTGACATTGAAAAAACAAAAAAGGGCCTCAAATGTTTTAACCAACATAAATTGTATTTTTCCAAAGTACTCCTAAAATTTTAAATTTAAAAAAAAATGAAGAGATCTTCAAAGTTTGGGTTTTTCTCCTGTTTTAGGAATATGATATAAATTTCCCCTAGGACATCCTAAGAAATTCATCTTTGTATAGTCATTAGTTTATGGATAGTTATGTTTCTGTCTGGCTTTCGACTCCCTATTGTATATCTGAAATTTTGCAATTTTTGATTATTAAATATAGGTTTTTTGATAACCCTGGTGTTCGGGCCACCTTTCGTACATGTGATATCACCTAGTATTTTGTATCCGCTGGATTTGAACCCGAGACAATGACTATTAAATATTTTATCAGATGACTGCCTAACTGTCTCACTTTTCGACTAATGTTAGAAAAGATATGCAGTAGTGAAGGAGTCAAAGAAACAGTAACGACAACAAGATAATAGTAAAATCGAAATGCAGCTTTGTCAAATAGTACTCCCTCCGGTCCAAAATAAGTGATTTTTTGGCCTTTTTCTTGTGGTCCAAAATAAGTGATTTTTCCAGATTTCAAGAATGAATTAATTATTTTTTTCCTACATTGTCCTTGGAGTAAATAGTGTTGGAATATGTGTTAGGAGTGTTTATGTGAGATAGTGAAGGTTAATATGGTCAATTCCATTGCTAATTAATGCTAAAAGGTGGATTTCTTAATATGTGTGAAAACATCCAAAAAATCACTTATTTTGGACCAGAGGGAGTAATAGAAATGAACAATATGGAAATACGAGAATAACTCTACCACTACTAGGATAAAAGGAAAACACTCGACTCCCTACTATCCTTCTACCCCGATTCTCGACTTCTACACTCTCATATCAAGGGTCATGTCCTCGGTAAGCTGATTACAGGGACGGAGCTACAGTAGAGTGTGCGGGTTTGGACGAACCCAGTCACTTTTTTGCGGATCTTGTATTTGTGTTGAAAATTTTATTGTTACTATATATATTTAGTAAGCCGAACCGAGAAGCAAAAGGAATCTGGGTTCAGTGGCAAAGGTTCTGTTTTCACAGGGAAAACACTGATTCCCCAGAAAACAACGCAGCATTTTTGTTAAATTTTTTTTTTCAAAAAAAAGAAAACTAAATAAGGAATAGAAGAACGACAAAGCTACAAAGTTCCTAACTACGTATGTTTTCTTCATGCTTTAGAATTACCATTCCCTTTTTAATAAAGAAAAACACAACACTTTTCCTTTTTATTAATTAAGAAAAACACAAATCAAATACCCATATCTTCTCTAAAACAAAAAATAAATAAACAGACATGTTTCCTTTACAATTCAACTGCACTCAAATCAAACAAAGCTAGGGTTTTGCCTTTCTGCTCCAATTGATGATTATCGCCTCTACTGCATCTTCCTTCTTCTTTTTCACTGTATATTCTTCCTTCTTCTTTTCGATTCTTTTTTTCCCCTATTATATTTTATATTTTATGTGTAACAATTCAAACAAATCTAATTTTTAATCTTTGATTTTAGGGTTTTCCTACATTTTGACCTCTATTCTCTTTGCAATTTGTGCTTTCCAAAATTTCAAAGGCCAAGCCCCGACAAATCGACAAGGTATGTGATCCTACTTTCTTGTTTTAGTTTCTTAGTGCGGATAATATCCTCGATAACATAGTGAATTTAGAGATTTTCAGATTATCAACCTTTGTTTGTTAATTGATTGTTGTCATTCTTTTTTGATAAGAGTAATTGGCTTTGGCTTTGGCTTTGTTAGCATCTAAATTTGGCTATCGGGTAAATTAGTAGATGGCACAATATAAAAGGATAACTAAAGTAACTTGAGTAGCTACCAATTAACATATCCATGGGCGAGTTGGATACAATTTTCTTTCTAATTTTGCATCTTTGTGTATCAATACATTTTAATAGGCAACATATTTTATATTTCTAAGAGGCCACAAACTTACAGTAAAGGTGGCCAAGAAATTCAAAAGGGAAAAACAACATGAAATGATACATTAATCTCTGTTGAGCGTGAACAACTAAAGATAAATTAATTACTCTACTGGATGCTATTAAAATATAAAGAATAAGTTGTTCAATAATAATGTTTATATTCAAATTGTAGCAATTCCCCGGTGGGAAAAGCCCTTAAAATTAAACTAAGAAGAAACTAAGAGAAAAGAAAGGAAAATGCAGAGATAAAATTGATTTTCATTCAACATAACTGAACAAAACAGGGAATACACGGTATTAATCAACTAGTAGCCTAACAAAATGGACATGTGTCGACTAACAAAAGTGGACACCTTTAGGTACTAAAATGTAAATAACAACGGGACTCAACTAACATAAAATAAACTAAGGACACCACAATAATAAAACCAAAAATCTTCGGTTAAAAACCCCTAAACTTAGCCCATATTCGTAACAATCCATCCCCCTTAAAACAGCCTTGTCCTCAAGGTTGGAGATATGGAACTGGTGAAGCCATAAAACCCAAACCAAGTCACTGACAGTTCCAAAAACAGCAACTAAAATACCATGGATGGCAGCACGAATGAGTCTGATAAGATTGACACTAACATCAGCAGCCTTGGTGAGCTTACCACCTCTAGATATGACAGAATAATACATAGAAGAGTAAGTTACCATCCCACCAGTTAGAGTAGTATCTTGAACCAACAGTAAGGAATCAAAACTGTCATCAAACCCATCACTATCAAGATGTAGAAAAGCGGAAATAAACAACCCGGCGACATAATTGGTGAACTCATGAACTGATCCAGTAACAGTATTTCCGTTTCCAAGATAAAAGTCCAGTGAGATGTTGTGTCTCTTTGAATTTTCAATTCGCTCGTCAACAAATGTTAAATATGTTCTCAGAAGTAGAGCACTATGCCACCATGAGTATACTTCTCCAAGAGAAGAAACAACATCACTCCAGGCACGAAGAGCAGCTACATGCATATGTTGTTGCAGCACAACCCAACAACCTTGAGAAAGATGAGGTTTCCTCCTTTGCAGCCTTACACTGTGATCAGTTGTCAAATGGACCAAGAAAAACCAAGAGACATATGAAATAAAAGTCAATTGCCTTCCATCAAATTTCCTCAGATCAGTGAGATCTTCACCATGTCCTAATTTTGCTTGATGGAAAGCTAGAAAACCATTATGGTCACTGCTTATCCAATAATCAGGACCATGTATCCAAAGCCCTATATAAATAACAACCACACCACTGACAGGAACTTTAATAACAAGAAGCATTTTTAGTACGTCACCTTGTTGAATCAATAAAGCATTCACTTCTCCTTGTCGCAAATACAGCTTTTTGAAAGCACCTAATGCCTTTCCTTTAGTAAGAGCTTTCAAGGATTTCCCTATAAGTACATATATGATCAGCAAGGCACCTTTCCCAAGGTAAATTGGGGACCATAATCCAGAAATTGCACCAGAAAGTAGTACACCAATAACAAGCTGGACAGTAGTCACTAAAGCCCACTCTATCCGGTCACTTATAATGGAGGGATCACACTGCCAGAGTAATATAGCATCAAGTAGAACTAGAACTTTAATTCTATCAATTAAGGATCTCGAGCCTAGAACCTCAAGATCCAAAACAACTTCTAGTTTTCTTGTTTTCCTGTCATCATAAAACTGTTTTACACCATGAAACTTCGGAAGAATGACTTCCATCAATTGCACATCCATCTTAGCAGATAGTCCAACCACCCTCAGTACAATCTTGACTTGTTCGCTGCTCTGTACAACTGAAACTTCAAAACTAGCATACTCAGTTGCATTCAGTAAAGTACTGATTATGGATGGACCATATCTATCCCTGCCTAGTGATGTAGCCAAAACAACTACTGCCTTTCTTATTCCTGGAAGCTTTCTAAAGATATCTTCAACAGAGTTTACACAAGTTGCACATGTCTTAGCACCAATTGTGAGCTGAAAGATGAGAATACTATTTGGTGAAGAAGAATATGGGTATGCAAGATACAGAAGACTTGTTAGTGGTATTTCTTTACCCTGCCGAGTGTTACAAATTTTGCTATTATTGTTCATCACCATCATTGTTTCTTGCCCTGTATCTAGCAAGATACATTTACACATGCCAGGGTCATTTTCAAGTAACAAATGGACTTGAGTAACTCCGCTCATTATGCTTTGTTGCCTCGGCTCTTCACAGAGTTCTCTCAGATTTGGATTTGGATTTGGATTGTGAATCCAAAACCTTATGGCAACAGCGATGAAGTCTTCACCCATATCAACTTGGAAGTCCATATACATGGACAAACTCGTACCAAACCAAGGGAACAGTGTGAATACATTTGCACTTGAACCTTCAGCTGGCATAGGTCTGGAAGGTTTTAAAGCCTTACTGATCTCACCCATATAGCAAGCACTATGACGAACCACAAACCTACGGGGCAATTCATCAAACTGTTTCCTAACGATCCCCATAATTCCACATTTGTCATATATGCCCATCATATAACTCCCAATTAACCCCTTAGATTTGAACCTGGTATTTAAGGCAAGGAAATAAGCTGATGGCCCAAAATGATAAGCAACTTGCGTTACAACCACTTTCGCCCCACCAGATAAAACACACTTGTTTACACTCAATATTTTAGTCTTACCTGAATGTGCTTCTCGTACAAAAGCTTCTTGTTTCTGCATCTTGATATGTATACTAGCTCTAGCAACATATATAATGGTTGATGTAGGAATGAGGAGATTAGCCATTGTGACTTGCTCAATTGTAGCTTCTTGCTTACCTTCTTCGGTAACCTCCATAGGAGGTTCTTCCTTCTTTTGTCGCTCGACATTGTCAGATTGCACATAGTCACTCCCATTAAACTCAACTTCTGATTCTATTATATCTGATTCTTCTTTTGCAAATGGGCAAATCCACTCGCTTTCATTTCTTTTTGACTTTTCATCGAACATCTTTCCCGCCTGATTTACTGCAACTTCAACACCATCATCTTCAACATCCTTTTGCATATTATCTTCCCCATCAACTGACTTTTCAGATTCAACATTCAAGTTCTCCTTAGATACAAATTTCTCAGCCTCATTAAGCACTCCACAGTCTTGGCCATCAATATGAACCACAAAGGATTCCTTGTTATCAAATCTGCATTGCAGCTCAATCTCATTTCTGTGAGAACTTTTATCAAACAGTTGGTTCTCGACATAGTTTCCTTTCTTCTTAGACAAGTTTTGACGTTTATGAAAATACCTCATACCCACTTTCCCAATGAAACTTGAAAGATATTTATCAAAAAGAATCTTGTGATGGTGCATTCCTCCGGTGTTTGCTCTCCAAGGATGTTTCTTGCTTTTCCGATACAGCGATAGCAGGCACTAACATATCCTCTCTTCTTCTTGTTCCTCTTGAATCTTGCCGCCATCGTTAGAGGATCTTCGTGTGTAGGTGCAACGGTTGCCGCCGACACTACAGTACCACCACCCATCTGAACGAAATACAAACCCGTATAGTTACCGTCAAATGGATAAATACATGGAACCTGATAAGAGGGAGCACTTGTGGGTGAATGGAGATAATTCCATCCTTCATCCGTTGGGTTAGCTAATCCATAAGTGAAATCACTAGAGGAATCTCGATAAGAACTTGGATTTGCACCAGGATACTGATGAAAAGTGTACGAGTCACCGAGAACCCACTCACTCTCCGACTTTTGAAAGTCATACTGATTTTGTGCACTATGGAAGGTTCGAAAACGATTTTGATACCACTCTTCCATATATTGCAGTCTTCTGTTTGATCTGTCAATAAAAGCTTGAATTTTTTGCTCCAACTCATTCGAACCTTTGCCGGACTCCGCCATTAACACCGAAGAACAGCCGAGAATCGTCGGCTCTGATACCAAATGTAGCAATTCCCCGGTGGGAAAAGCCATTAAAATTAAACTAAGAAGAAACTAAGAGAAAAGAAAGGAAAATGCAGAGATAAAATTGATTTTCATTCAACATAACTGAACAAAACAGGGAATACACGGTTTTAATCAACTAGTAGCCTAACAAAATGGACACGTGTCGACTAACAAAAGTGGACACCTTTAGGGTACTAAAATGTAAATAACAACGGGACTCAACTAACATAAAATAAACTAAGGACACCACATAATAAAACCAAAAATCTTCGGTTAAAAACCCCTAAACTTAGCCCATATTCGTAACACAAATATTATGTTTGTCTGGTTCGTTACTTTTTAAATGTATATTAAATATCGGTACTCGTTCTTTAGTCTGCTTGTTATTGTATATTACTTTTGGGTCTCCTATCTTAAAATTTAGAACCCATACACTTCAAATCCTAGCTCCGCCTTTGAAGCTGAAGATGCGTTATGTCTTGGCTAATGTTTATCGTATCATATCCTCTAATTGCTTAGGAAAAGTACTTTCTGTTTTCCCGTAATTGTAGCGATTTTTCATATGAATCTTTTGAAGAATTTTTCTCCGGGAAATAGCTTCCAAAGAACGTTTTTATTAGAATTATTTTCTGAAATAGTGTTGTAATGAAATCAAGATTTTAAGAATTCCACACTAATGTTTCTTTTTCAGATTATCTCTCTCTAAAAGAATGTTTCTTTTTTCTTTAAAGAATAATGAAATGCGTTGTGCCCCTTCATAGAAAGAAATAGTTGTGACTCCTTGAACTCTCTCTTTCAATCTTAGGCTGCCTCCTTACCCTATTTAAATAGTTGTGACTTCACACTGAGTTTGTTTCTTGATCAGTTGCACTATCTTGCAGTTGCTCCCAGTTGCAACTATTACTTATTGCCGCAGTTTGCCATCGCTAAGAAATGTTACCTCCTTTTTTAGTTTTTATACAACATTTTGTATAAATATTTGTAATACACACACACACACATGTGTATTTATGCCGAAATTGGGTGATTATTTGTCTGGCATTCTCTTTTCTTTTATTCTTGGACAAAAATCGCATAGGATGTCATGATCAAAGATTACCACCCTTAACTGTTGTTTCTCTTATCCTTTTTTCAGCTCTTAACTGTTAAATAGGTTCTTTGATGTCGGACCCTGAGGCTTCAGCAGATGAACACTATGTTTCCATTCCTCGTGGTGGTCCTATTTACATTTCCGACATGGTTGGTCCACTCACTAAGGTTGCTGACTTTGAGGTCAGCATCTTCCGCGAACTTGAGGTATGAAGTTGTTGTTCACATTTAGATTACAATGACACTCATTGTGAATATTTTACTTTGAAGCTTGTCTACCTTTTATAGATTCCACGTTCATATGAACTATGAAGACATACTTCTGTCAAGAGTTTGTATGCAGAGCTCCCACCTCAAATAAACAAAAATTAAACATGAAAGAAAAAAGATAAAAAGGTCTATTATGGATTTCATCATTCTGATACCTTGATTAAGGTCAGTATTCTAAGTATCTTGTTCTGTTATGCAGCGGCTCAAGGCAGAGTTGTCCGTTGATTCACTTGAAATGTTTGATGATGAGATATCGTAAGTGCATCTTTTTTTGCTCCTCTTTGATACTAGAAAAGGAAAGAAAACTAAAATGTATCATATGTACCTGCCACTTACTTCTCTTGCATATCCTTTAACCATGGTGATTAATTTATTTTTTTGAAATGCAATACTGCGAGTTTTTTGGTTAACTATGTCATGGATGTGGGAGCAAAAACTGAAACAGGATTTCCTGGAAATATTTTGAGGGATTTCTCTAGCTTTTGTCGAGATCAGCTCTTTGTTTTTTGAGTCTTTGGGTTTTCATTGCACAGACAGATTCTTTTCCCTTTTGGGTTGTTGAATATTGTGCTCTGCTCCCAAGTTTCTTATTCAGACAGAAGATATCATTAAGTAACTGTGGTTGAGGGGATGGTCTCATAGCATCTATTTCATTTAGAGTGGTTTTGGGATCGTTTATATTTATCAATAACACCTTGTTTAGTAGGTTGTTTTTAAATTCTTTTTCGTCTTTAAGTTATATGTGACAGCTGATAACTTGCAATCCGTTTTATTTTGGCAGCTGATAATTATTTTATTTTTTCTTTTCACTTTAATTTAGTGGATGTACTTTAAAGAATATCAAAATTGATTAACGTTTCTAATACCATATCTACTCCCTACTACCCAAATAACTGCAGTGGTACTTATCCCATAAAATAGTAGTACTTAGTAATTATTACATTGACTCTTCAAATTCAAACTTCGGTAAGATGGATCTTTGTATGGCTTGTTTCATAGGTTCTGACCAATCTACTCCGATTGTTCGTAGAGTTAACTGACTCTTCTTATTGATTGCCTTGTAGGGTTGAAGATCTTAAAACTTTCAGTGAAGAGGAATTGGTGGCTCAGGCCTTTGAAGAGGCATGTAGGGTACAATAACATTCTTTTTAATTATAGGAAGCCATTCTAGCAGTTAGCTTACAAGTCTTCACTAATCAGAAAAAAGTCCAGTTTACAAACTTTCACCTTCAAAAGAAAATAAATGGCCTGTTTGTTTACCAGATCTTCATGTGATGAATACAGGATGATGAGCTGATCAAAGAATCTTCACAAACTTTGACAGAGCACCTTGGTACAAGGTTAGTTAAATGAGTATTCTAGACCAAGACCCATTTTACTTACTTTTGGCAGTCTTTGTTTTTTCTCTTTGCATTAGATGATGTATCAATAATTTTATGAAGCGTGTCCAATTCCAACTATGTGACTCTTGATACTTTATTAGCTTGCAATCTTGGTTTCCTTTTGTTCGCTGGCTATGCATGTGCAAATCTTATGCTATTTTAATAGCAAAGCAAGTTAAACAACTTTTAGGATTGAATATTTATTGATTAAGAAATAAATTAATATGTTGATCTTTTAAAATTATTCTTACATGTGTATATATCTATGGAAAAGGGGATGGAAAATTATTCTTTCTGCTTTTGACATTCTATGTAATAGTGTCATTGACAGGTTTTCCAACAAAACAGTTATATCTTCAAGTTATCTCTTGATGTCAAAATGGTATTTCCAACAGCGATTCAACCTGATAAAACTATATTTCACTGTTCATTCTATCCGTTCACTTGTGCTTGTTTGCAGTTCTGCATGTGTTCCACACTCATTTGTCTTAATCCTATATTTTTCATTACCCTTTTTAACTAAAAACAGAAGAACAGATAACGGGATTTCAGTTACTGAACTTGCTTCATTTGAAAGGTCAGAAAGAGAAGTGGACTCTTCTACTATTCATGATCCCTCAGACTATGTCGCCCGCGACAACAAAGGTTCAGATAAAAGCAAGTCCAACAAGAGGAAGCGGGGGAAGAATGTTCATCAGAAGAATACTGTTGATGTATGCTAGTGAGCTTTTCTGTTATACATCTGTTTTAGTACTCTATTTTCTGTTGTATTGAAGTCTTTGTTTGGTTCTTAGTGATTTGAATCTCTGTTTACCTACTAAAAATAAAGTTAATGTCCTGTCCGATCATGGATATGGTCGAGAGTTCTGGATAGTTTTACTATGCCACAACTGGCACATTAGATCACTTGAATGGTTAATCTTGCATTTTTTTTGTACTGATGATATAGTTAAGATGTATTGGAGTAAATCATATGTTCAGGCTTATTTTTGCCCTTTTAATCTCTTAAGGATTTACTTTCCAAATTAGACTTATAGGCGTTTGTCATAGATCATAAAGAAGTGGTAGTATGAAAACTGAAAGGTGAAATCTTGATAATACTGACTTCAGAAGTGTTTAATCATGAATGGAAGCTCCCACAGCTAATCATTGAAAAAAGCCTCCAAAACTCAAAGAAATCTACTTTTATTATCCTGTTAATCCTAGTTGCACATATTCCAACAGGTTGAAAATGAGAGATCTGATCAAATGCCTAGCAATACCTTGTTGAAAAATAGAAGGTAATATTTGAGCAGGGTAAAAGTATGGAGGAAAGCGTAAATGACGAACATAATTTGGCTTGTAAAGGCTGCCAGTTCATTTAAGTCGCATCTTATTTGTTCATCAACATTGTGTTTGCGCATTATTTCCCCATTTTCTTTGTCCTCACGGTTTCAGTTTAAGTATTTTTTTCAAGAAATGAGTTCATATTCTTGCATTTTGTAGGAAGACTATGTTCTGAAGGTGGAACAACTTGCAAAAATTAAAGAAAAACAAGAGGAAGAGAAAGCAGCAGCAAGATTGCATTCTTTCAAGTACAGATCATCGTCTCTAGTTGATATGTTTTTATTTATGACTAAACCAGCTTGTTGTATCCGTTATTCATATTTTCATGTCTTGTGTCCTCTTATGTTCAACTTTTTAGCTATATTTTTGTATTGGTTCAGTGGTAGTTGCAGCAGCAGCCACTCTGCTTCAACATCTTCCAGTAAGATTGGTAGGATGACGTCACTCAAGTCAATAAGTTCGGGAACAAAGGTTAGTTTACATTGACTTCCTTAGACCTTGATTCTTATGTACTGTATGACCTGGGTTTTGGATGAATCTAGAATTTAAAAGGTCTGGAGCAAGAGTAAAGTTAGTTTAAAGCTTGTTTAGGCTGTTCAAAAAATTAATGACTATTCTATCTTTTGCTTATATATGAAGGAGCGGTCTTCTGGTCTATTAAGAGATATAATTGAACAGTTTTCAACCCACCATATAATCTCATTGCATACTTCTTTGTTTTTGAATGCCATGATAGAAATACATGACCGTCCCAACTCTCTTTCCCCTTATTACTGCAAAAGTCTGGCTTGCTGTGACAGATAAACATTCTGACCATCTTTATGGTAAAAAACCCTGTTTATTGACGAGCTACTTTGTCTTTGCTCTGAGAGCATCTTTTCTGTTGTCATTTTAGTGGGTATGGGGTTGGGTGAGGTAAGGGGGTTTAATGTTTTAATTTTATACCTCTTATTAATTTTAGTGGAAATTTGTATTTTATGTATTTGCAAGGAAAAGTGCTTCTTCCATCCCTCGATTAGATTGGGTATATCAGATCTACTTTAAACTACTAACCATTAAAATTAAGGAATTGGTCAAATATATTTGATAATCAATAGCATCAAGAAAAACATCTATGAAGATGGACTACTACAGGTATATTGAGTGTCAAACAAAAGTCTGTCAATCACAATTTAAAATTTTACTTTCAGAACTCTTTTAGAATTTATATCTTCATCTGAATAGGTTTTAGAAAAAAGGATGAAAAAGAGTACCTTCTTACAATACTGGAGAGGATATGGACAATCTGATATACAGCTTTGCAACCTCATTTTCATCCATGCAAATGCTCTCTTCCAGAGTATCCACGTAAGTGCCTAAGGTGTTTATGAAAATAACAATTAAAGAGATCGTTTTAAAAAAGATAGTTACTTATTGGATTTAGAAGTGTAGTACTAATTAGCAAATCTTTTTAAAATTATTTTTTATTGTAAAATGATTTTGTTAATAATGGGTTTCTTATATAAGCAGTATACCAAAGAGTAGAGAGCTCTGACAAAAATATGGTTCCCTAATCACCAAATGTTCTATACAGACTAGAACCTCATGAGTGCACCAAAACGAAACTAAAAGAGGATATTCCTCATATGTACAAAGTCAGTCTCTATACAGTCAAAGGTTTTCTTACCCCTCTCCATAGGACACACACAAGTGCAATTGGAGCAACATCCCATACTGTCTTCTTTTTTTCTTTTTGATAAGGTAAAATTTTATTACAAAAGGTACCAAGATGGTACAAAATTACGAACAACCAGCAGATATCACAACAGGGCCATTACATTCCTCCCAATTCCTCTAGAAAAACCATATACTGTTCCATATTTTCCATAGCATACTTCCTACACCAGAAAAGTAAATTTAATAAACAACTATTTTTAATCCTGGAAACATGCTGCCTTTCCCCTTCAGAGCAAATCTTGTTTCTTTCCAACCATATTGTCTATAGCACACACAGAGGAATTGTTCTCCATACTATCTGTTGACTTTTTTGCTGTTTTTTGGTGTTGCCAAGTCTCCAACAGACTCCTGACATTAGAGGGCATAACCCAGTTGACATCATATATATTTAGGAAGAGCTCCAACACTGTCTTGCCACTTTGCAATGAATGAATAGATGACTGACTGTTTCTGCTTCTTCACACATGTAACACCTGTTTCATAGAATAGTTGCTCTCCTGCAAGTTCTCCTGAGTTAAACAAGTTCCCTTTGCTGCGACCCACCAAAACAAGCTACTTTAACAGGTGTTTTTGATCTCCATATTGCTTTCCATGGCTAATCTGATTGATAAAGCCCCTGTTGTTTTTTTAGCAGACTGTAACAACTCCTGGCTGTGAAAGTACCATCTTTGCTTGCTGCCCAGATCAGCGAGTCTTTCTTGTTGTCCTCCAATCTAACCATGTCCAGTAACTGCATCAATTGAGCAAATTCATCAACTTCCCAGTCATTAAGACCCCTCCTGAGGATCAGCTGCCAACCAGTATTCGTGTAAAAGTCTGATACCCTTCCATTTTTTTTGTGGAGCAGCTATACAAAACAGGGAATTTTGATCTGAAACTTTCACTTCCCAACCATATATCAGATCTAAATTGGGTATTATTACCATTCCACAGTTTCAACTTTACCAACTGACTCTATTCGTTCCATAAATTACTGATTGTTTACCAGACTTCCCCCGTTGCAGAAGAATGCACTGAACGAGAAGCCTACATGTCCTCCTACCATACTTGGCATCTATCAGTTGTTTCAATAATCTGTTTGCTATCATCATCAGCAACTCGTGCCTAAAGGCGAAACTATAATCTTAAAGGTAATTTGCCTTTCTATATGAAAACAACATCTTCATTAAAATTATTCAGAAACTTAGAGGAACAAATAGGAAGACAAATTAACTTTAACATTATAGTTTCGCCAGTAGGCCCTTTAGCAACTCGTCTCAGGAGAAGCGGACAAAGAAAAAAACATATCTGGCATCTTCTCCTCCTTCTCTACACCCAACTATGCAGCGGTTCATTCACTATACCTGGAATCATCACTATACTCCAATCAACTAACAGTTCCCACCACAAATGTCTTGCCGCCTTGCCGTGTAACAGAATGTGGTAATTCAATGCTTCTCTTAATGAATGCTGTATTTTTTTCATTGTTAATAATAGTAATTGCATGTTTGCACACTGTTAATATTTGTATTGGACAGTCCTTATTACCTAAAGAACAATTCATATTACCTTAAACCTTTTGAATTTCATGTAAGCCAATATCATTGGGTAAAAACATACCCGCACCGGGTATTTATGCCAAACCAAAGAAGCATGGCATTTGTTTACACATAGAGTTCTATCACTTAATTATGGTTGATTAATGCATGTTTTTACTTCATTAAATTAGCTAATCATAGTAAGTTTAATTGGTTTGGTGTAAACACCCAATGCGTTTAAGTGTTCACCATATCATTGTACTTGCATACATTGTAAATCCACAGTATATCTATGCGACGTCATCATGACCTTTCTAGTATCACTTTTTATAGAAAGCTAAAGTAATTTCATTGCAGTTGTAATCTGAATTAGATGTAAATAAGACTTTTGATAGTTTAGACTTCTCTGATCTTAGTTCTAAACCAATGATAGTTTGTTGATTTTCATGCTTGGTTTTGGTTTATGGCAGGTGAGGGCAGCAAATGCTCATGGACATATTGCAGTGCACTTTCCAGAGGTTGTCCTCTGTATTGAGGTTTATCATTACAAAAAGACATGGGTAAAAGTATGAACATGCTCTTTGTTGCTATCTTTGAAGCGCTGATTAAATGAACTTTTAAATTATCGACTATGAACATGCTCTTTGTGCTATCTCTATTGCAACTTGCAACGGTATTTTTGTGACCTTCTCTGGGTGATAAAATAGAAGGCTTTTGTGCTAGGTTATAGTTTATTCATGGTCTTATTAGCTTTAAATTATTAACTGAAATAAGTAAATTCAAATACAACCTCCTGTATTTGATAAGATAAACTACTTGGAGTCGGTGGCTAAAAGTGTGAGGGGGTTCATTGTTGAAGATGATCAAAGATCTTCCTATTGTATTGCTTTTTTAGTAACTCGTGTAACTTTATATTCTATCTGATTGTTACAACTGACTATGATGATAATATATCTATAGACTCAAGAATTTCTGGTCCTTGGGCGGCAATTTTTGACGGAAATGAGAGACAGGATATATTGCATTACTGATGAGATAATGAAGAAGACAGGCCAGGATGATCCTTCGGGCTATTTCCTTGTGGAGGTAACTTTTCTGGCCAATTTTATTCTGTAATGATAAATATCATTTTCTTCTGTTCCTTACTATTTTCTTATCACCAACCTAAATTTTTTCCATAGGATGTCTTTTGCAATGATTTTAGGCATCCTGCTGCTGTAGATTATAGTAAGCCAATACTTAATTGGCTTCAAGATTCTAGGAGTGAGGCGCTGGAAAAATGGGAATCTATCGCCTCTGGTGAACTGCCACAGAAACAAAAGGCCCTTCTAGGCAGTAAAATTGGACCACAATTGCCCCATTTCAAGACCGCTAAAATGCAAGTAACTCGTTTCTGTGACTTAAGATTTCGACTTGGTGCTGGATATCTTTATTGTCACCAGGTAATATTTCTTTTTCAGCGTGTGTTGTTTTTCTGTCGCTCAGGGGAATATTTCATTATTAAGTCAAATTAATTTTAATATATACAGACCCTTGTGGTTTGACCCTTAGCGGGAGCTTAGTGCACCGAGCTGCCCTCTTATAGATGTTAATTGACTTCTTCATGTGTCTGTTTTGCCTTATTATACAAGGGGGATTGCAAGCATCAAGTTGTAATAAGAGACATGAGGTTGATACATCCAGAGGACGTACAGAACCGAGCTGCATATCCGCTGATCACCTTTCAGCCGAAGTTGCGGTTCCAGAAATGCTCTGTTTGCAAGATTTTTAAAGCGGTTAAGGTGACAGTTGATGATAAATGGGCTGCTGAAAATCCTTGCTACTTCTGTGACCTTTGCTATTACATGCTCCACTATGTAAACGGGTCTCTGCTTTACGATGATTTCTCTGTGTATGAATATCTCCATGAGTAACGTTTAATTAGAAGAGTTGACGTGTGGGTTAGGTGCATGTCACGGGTTCCAACCCTGCCGCGAACAGCACTGGTATTTAAGTGTAGAAGAATAGAGGGCGGTCAAATCCTGACATTACACATGACTTTGCAAAGCAGGTTTCAGTTTCACACATATGAAGTTCAGACCAAAGAATGTATAAATAAGTTGGAAGTTCCACACAGATAATAAATACTATCATCCAATTTATTATTACTATTGTCGCTATCAATGACAAATAGGTTTCAGTTTCTCTTTGTTTATTGTTCTCAGAGCTATTTGTTCAGAGTTCAACTACAAATTATATCCTCTTACATTAAAACAAATTAAAATATTAACTAATGCACTGGCCTTGTTTAGTTTATCCTTTTTTGTTTAATTGAGTATTTTAGGAAGTTGAAAGTGGTATCGAGAAAAGGCAATGGAAAAACTTTAGTGAAAAATTGAAGAATGTATTTCAGAATTCAGATGGAAAACCTTTCCGTTGAATTATTACTCAAATTGCATATGAAGTTAGATCCTTTTATTGCAAAAGCAGAACATTGTTTTTCATACATAATAGTTTAGCGACAAAAAGTTAACGATCATAAATCCAGACATTTGAACTCATGACTCAAGTAGGTCGGTCAAATATATATATATATATATAGATAGATAGATAGATAGATAGATTATATATAAAATATGTATATTATATATTGGTATATATAAAAGATATACATATTTTATCGGCTATTATTGGCGGTTATACAATATAGTTTTTCCTAAACAAACTTTCTTTTAGGGGTTGTTTGGTACGATTATGGGATATCCCAGGATGTCCCATAGGGCGGGATATCCCATGGCATTGGTTATCCCACATTACAAACTTTCTTTTAGGGGTTGTTTGGTACGATTATGGGATATCCCAGGATGTCCCATGGGGCGGGATATTCCATGGCATCGGTTATTCCACATTTTATATCAGATAGCTAATCTCACTATTTTAGTGTAAAAGTTATCCTGAGATTAACTAATACCCCATATTGGAATTATTATTCCTATCCCATACCAGACGATACCTTAGAGTATGTTTAGTAATACAGAAAATATTTCTAAAAGTTTGGTATTTATAATTTAATTGTCAAAAAATATTTTCTAGAGAAAAAAATTATTTTTCCACCATAAGGGGAAATTACTTCTCTCACCAGTTTTGGACGAAAGTCCATCACAATTATCTCCAATCTCAATGTTATTATATCTTCATTTTTTAAAGAGAAAATTACACATAGGTACAATTAAATTTTGTTATTAAATATCACTATTAGTATTTAATACACAAAACACTATCAGTTTGGGCTATCAAAACACTATCAGGTTATTTCTGAAATTATCTTTTACTCTCCAACTAATTACCGAAAAATATTTTTCAAAAAATAGTAGGAGTAAGTCGTTTTCTGATATATATTCTTTGAAATATAACTTATATCATATCAAATACACCATAGACATGTTGTAGATAATTTTTTTGAAATATTAATTAAAAAATATTTACAAATTTCTAAATCCACATCCCAAATATTATATAGTAAAAGAAAAAATGGGAGAAAAAGAAAAATGTGTGGAGAATAGGTAATCAAAAAAGAAAAAATGGATCACCACTCACCGGTAATTACCATTAACCAAATCACCAGTATAAATATCAGGATTTTTTTACTCTAATCTTCTTCCCTATTCTTCATTTCTAAAAATCACCACCGGGGTCTTCCGTGTACGGCGATCCCGGGAAAATTTTCCGTTATCCCTCCGCTATCTCCTTATATCTCTGTATCTATATAAAATTAACCGTAATATATAACATTCTTCTTTATCTTCTTCAAATACTATTTTAGAAAGTTCTAATCCGTATTATTGCATGGCGGTTAATTTTCTGAACCGGAATGTGTCAGATTTGTGCGTAGGGAAACCGGCGTTAAGGCCATTACCGGCGGCAGCCACCATAGCGGAGGCGTTAGCGGTGTTGAAAAAGTCCGGCGAAGCTCACGTGAGCGTGTGGAGCTGTGACCATTTGAAGAAGGTTCTAGAAGGTAGTAATTGTGAGTGCTGTTGTGTTGGGAAGATTTGTTTGGTGGATGTGATTTGCTTTTTATGTAAAAACGAGAATTTGGATAATCCTTCCAAGGCTCTTGAGGCACCTGTTTCCCAGATTTTGCCGAAAGGGGATTATATTGTGAGGCATTTGGCGCCCAATTCAAGGTATTGTGATATTTTTCCCTTGGAATTTTAATATATATTACTAGTTACTATGGCAATTTAGCAGAGCAGAGGCGGACCTAGGATTTGAATGTGGCGGGGCACCATTGCCGAATAAAAATTTGAGCAAATGTTGGAACCCAGGTACCGCACTAAAAGTCTAAGTTGTGCCCTCTAAATCGACCAATGCAGCTGCCTGAGATTTGGATCTTAGGATCTTAGGGTGCCAATCAAAATATATACCTATTATTTGAGATATATACACAAATATACATACATTTTTTTTCGAAATTATCGGGCCCGGCAACCCTCCTACCCAAAGGGTAGGTCCTCCTCTGGGCAGGAGATCGATCAAATATAACTGATCATTTAGTCAGTACTTCCATTATATTACTGTATTTGACTGGATATGAAATCTAAAACACAGGATATATTCATAAGTTCATTTTTTATTCAAATCGTGATTGATTATAGGAGATCATTTACTTAGTACTTTCTTTATATTATGGTATTTGACTAGATATGAATCGTAACACATGAGATTTTTATAAGGTTAGTTTTTTATTCAATTTTTAGTCATTTACTCAGTATTTTCTTTTTTATTTATTAAGTATTAGGAATAGTAGGAGAAGATATCAATATATGGTTGAAACTTGAGGTTTAGCTCCTTCTGAGCCCAGTTCTAGCATTTTGGAACGAATATTCTTCATATTCTATATGTATTTATTTGTCTTGCAAATAACTAAGAATATAACATCTATTATATGGTTCCTAGGGAGATGTACAAATATAGGTGGGATTTGGGTAATGGCCAATGATTTAATGTGGCATTCTTAATCTGGGGAAAGAACACATAAAAATTTCAACTTTAGATGGGAGGAAGAAGGTACCACATTTTCAGCTTACCAGGATGGAGGCGCAATGTTCGGTGGATGGTGGAAAAGGGAGTTGTATGAATGTTTATTTACATAAAACTTGTTGACAATTCTGCTAAAAAGAACCTTTTTGCGTACATTGCAGCTTTTTCATCAAATAGACAACAATAACAACTAATTCCCAATCCCAAACTAGTTGGGGTCGAGTATATGAATCTTACTGTGCTCAATCCCAAACTATTTGTCGTTTGATAGATGAATTCATTGTCATCCTGCTCTATCCTAAACATTTTTTTTTCATCCAAAACCAACCCATTTCAACAAGTTTTTTTCTTTCTCATCAGTTACAAACAAAAAAAGGTCTGTTGGTGCTTCAACATAATCATTACTTGTCCCTTTTCAAATATTTAACTCTACTTGTTCACTAGATCTAGCGTCAAGTATGTTATAATCTGTTTGGTAGTCTTTCTTTTTTTAGGAAGGGGAGCCTTGGCGTAACTGGTTAAGTTATTGCCAATATGACTAGGAGGTCACGGGTTCGAGGCATGGAAATAACCTCTTGCAGAAATGCAGGGTAAGTCTGAGTACAATATACCCTTGTGGTCCGGCCCTTCCCCAGGCCCCGCGCATACCGGGAACTTAGTGCTCCAGGCTGCCCTTCTTAGTCTTTCTTTTTTAGGATTTTCCTTTTCTGGTTTATATGTATCGTTTTTGTGAACGACTTTTGGAGCTTTGAGAGGCATGCAACACATTGTTTAGGCTTGCCATGTCTCTGTAGCCTCATTTTTCATCTAATTGATGCTTTTCTGGACATCTTATTCTGTTTACTTTTGTTGTTTGATGTTATTGGTTGTCTTCTGATATATTTTTTATTGTTTGTTCAGCTTACTGGAAGCAATAGATTACATTCTGGAAGGCACACAGAACCTGGTTATACCAATCCAAAAGTACATGAGCAGAAATACTAGGACAAAGCTGAGTAAATCTTCCTCCCTGAGTTGCAAACATCACGACGGAGTTGAATACTGCTGGCTAACGCAAGAAGACATTGTCCGCTTCCTTCTGAATTCCATTGGTGTCTTCTCCCCTATGCCCACATTTTCAATTGAATCACTCAACATCATAGATAATAACGTCATGACTGTATGTTACCATGATCCTGCGATCTCTGCCTTAGATTCCCTTGCTCTTGCACACGTTGAGCAAACTTCAGTGGCTGTTGTTGATGATCACAACAAATTAATTGGTGAAATCTCCCCCTCCACTCTTGCATACTGCGATGAAACGGCTGCAGCAGCAATCATGGCCCTTTCAGCCGGTGATCTGATGGCTTACATTGACTGTGGTGGTCCTCCAGACGACTTGATCGAGCTGGTGAAGACGAGGCTGCAAGAGAAAAAGCTTGGCGCAGTATTGGAACTAATGGATGAAGAGTTCTCATTGTCTTCGTCATCATCCTCAGCTTCAAGTTGTTCTTCTGATGATGAGTTAGGGGTTTGCAGAAATAATGGTTCAGTACGATATTCATCAGCAAGAAGGGCGGAGGCAATCACGTGTTATCCAAGCAGTTCGTTGGTGGCTGTGATGATTCAAGCACTTGCACATCGCGCAAGTTCCGTTTGGGTCATGGATGAGGATAACACTTTGATTGGTTCTGTAACATTTAAAGGAATTCTGAAAGTTTTCAGGAGTCTTGCAAATGCGAGGTCTGCAACCAAATAAGGAGAATTCAGTGAAGGCAATAACACAACAAGCACAAAATTGTGTCAAAATTCTTTCAAATGATTGGGAGACTTTTTCGGTGGTGATTGAAACACGTTGAGTTGGAGAATATAGTTAGTTTTGGAACTTAATCTTTGTATATGTTGTTTTGTAATGGTCATTATGTCTATTAGTAATTATTTTCATAGTGAAAGTTTAATCCTAATTTTATGGCTTTGCAATGGAGCATCATCTCCACAGTACAATGGATCTTTTAAAAAACAAAAAGCTGTCTTATATATGGGGTAAAAACTTACTTACACCGGGTGTTTACACTAAACTAATGAATGTAAGACATGTCTTTTATATACATATTTAACAATTAATCATAGTTAAGTGACAGAGGCGGAACCATGATTTGAACCTTGTGGGTTTGAAATTTTAACTCA